ATATATATATATATATATATATATTTTAATGGGTACTTTGGGTTGGGATTGGTTTTCCACTTTTTTCTTTCATACTCGGGGTTGGGTTGGGTGTTTATATTTTATAGGGGACCTAGAGTCCTATTGTATTATCACCTACCCTCGGGCGAATCATTAAATAAATAAATAAATAAATAAAACAATTCAGTCAGAGTATTATTACTTGTTCCTTCAGGTTCCATTTGACGACCCAAATAGGATGGGACTGTACGAGAAGATAAAGACTGAACAGTAAGTTACCCGGCCAGTATGTTTCATTTAAAACTATCTCCTACATGGACACTCCATTGCGATCAAAATTGTAGTTCTGAAAAAGCTCTTAGCCTATATCCTGGTAATGGCAGTCGATGACTATAAAACAATATAATTCTGTTCTATCGACTGAGTTGATAATGTAAATTGGCCACGGTAAAGAGTTAAAGAGCTGACGTTTCGAGCGTTAGCCCTTCGCTCTGAAAAGGGTCAACGCTCAAAACGTCAGCTTTTAAACTCTTTAGGGTAGCCAATTGACATCATCAACTCAGTTGATAAAACCAAATGATCTTGTTATACTTCCCCACCGACGCAGCACCACAGTTTCTTTAGAAACTCAACCCCCTTTATTTGTTGTTAACAAAAAAGTTTTTTTTTTTGTCACACTTACTTGATTATAAGCTGTCCACGAGTAGACGCCATAGATTCAAGCAAAATTACAGATAAACGCCGCCCTCCAATTAAGAAGGAATCGTTAATGTTAACTGCAAAACTTTTTCTGCTATTTATCCCGACTTAGCTTGTTTTCCTAAGATTGATTGTATGTGTGTTAGAAGGATTTGTCTTAAATAATCTTCCTTTCCTTTCTTTTACATTTGTTGCTACTTCCAGGCTGACCTTTCCAGAAGAGTAAGTACTGCTGCCCATTTTCTCTCTTAACTCAAATTTTTCAGTTTTCACACAAATCAACTATCTCACCTCATGACTGCTTAGTGTCGCAAACTCACCCCATAAGATAGAATACTTTACCCTTCCCCTTCCTTCGTTCAAAAGGAATGCTTGTTCTCCCTTCTCACATTTCTGAAATCCATTTCCCGCGTTCAGTGCTTAAATGAAGTTTTATTTTGTATTATAACATAACCAAAGTAAAGCGCGCGCTCTGATTGGTCAATTTAGCGTTCCCCATTTGCCCATGGGTGTACGCTGCTGACGTGAGCAAATGCAAAGACTATTTTTCCGCGCGCGCTTGTTTCAGTGCTTAAATGAAGTTTTATTTTGTAGCATCATCCGATACTCGTTACAGAAAATCACTGTCTCAAACAAAAATTTTGATTATTTAACCTAAGGTACGTTGGACTTAAGTTCATTAGTTACACTTTACACACTGGCATCCTTCTTTACACTTTATAGGCCTGTATTAAATCCACAGTTAGAAGATCTTATTTTGAGAATGTTGACAAAAGATCCCAGTGAAAGAATTACCATACAACAGATCAAGGTATGTCGACAGAAATTTGATTAAACTGATGCAGAAGTCCTGAGCGAGCTTGTTGCATTGCAACAAGCCGAAGTCTTAAGCGGTAGTAGACATTTTCGTGCAAATTTATCTTGGCCTTGTGTCGATTTTTGGATTTTGGAGGTCGCCATGTGTCCTCAATGAGCGGTTGATTTTGCTAAGTCAGCAAAAGCTAATTTAAGTTATATTACTGATGTCTAAGTTGATAAAATACGCAACTCCTAATAAGCTACCTATTTTTATCGATAACCAGGAACATCCGTGGGTTACTTATGGCGGTAAACATCCTCTTCCAACCACTGCAGAAAACTGCACTGTTATTGAAGTCACTGATGATGATATTCAGAACAGTGTAAAGTCTATTCCAAAAATCAAGACCCTGGTAAGGAAAACATTCTGATTGAACCAGTTTTAGCCTCGTTTGTATTCGTGTTCAAGAAAATGTCCCCCACCATCATAGTTTGTAGTGATAAGGGCAAGCTCGCGATCGTTTACTCAATCGACGACGTTTGATTTGGAGTTAGAGTCGACTGTGGGGGGGAGGGGCGGGGAAAGGCGAGAAGTAATATTCATTATATCAATGATCTTGAGTTGCGCTGGAAATGCGAACTGCAACAATTAACCCTTTCAATATGAAATTTAACATGAAAAACTCACTCCAATGCTAGGAATGTGTCAGAATTTAGAGACAAACCCGTAATTTTAGACTTTGGTCCAAAATCGAAATCAAAATCGAGGCTTGAATAGCGGAATATAAATCCTTCTGGTGATGCCTGGCTTTTTTAGGCAGAAACTTACTTTCTTGACGCATAATGGCTTGCTATTATTAAATATTAATTAGCAGGAAATTGTATTGGCGACAGTCTTTAGCTAGTTGCAAGTTTCTCTTGTTAGTTCTAACACACTTCGTTGTTTTGTTTTTATCTCCTTCCCAGATACTTGTGAAGAGTATGTTGAAGTATCACACATTTGGGAGTCAAGCCAAAATAGAGCGAATACGATCACATTCACAACCAAACATCGCACGAAATGTAGAAGACAAGGAAATAACCAAAATATGATTCTTATTTCAACCTAGGTTGTTATAACTTTTGATACCTCTATGAACATTACCCTCCGAGTGGGTAACGAGGAAGGACGGTCGGCTCCGTCCAAGGCTACAAGAGTCATTCTGAGGAGCTACGCCACTTTTGTCTTGTCATATTTACGATATTTGGGCTTACAGATTCATCAGCTTTGCTTTGTGTTTAGAACCCGGTAAAGAACCCGTTATCAGCGAAGAGAACAAACTGTTAAGTAGTAATAAATATTACAATGCTAATGAGGTAATAAAATGAGAGGGAAATTATTCTTTAAAGATAAACAACCACGAGTACAGGAGACATTACAGGCTGAAATCGTTTGGTGAAACCGAAGAAATTCGAATTCAGTTTTAACAACACACTTTCTTTTCTGAATCCCTTGTCAATGTTTTGCTACACTGAAAACGAAAGCATTCATTAGGATTACAACATCTTTTCTGTTAGACTCGACTCACCTTGCGAAGTAAAATAACATAGAAACAGTTGCCATTATTAATTAGAGTAGTTATAGAAAAATTTATCGATGGAATGAAGTTGTATTTATTGATTCTGTTAACATGACTGAAACGGAAAGCCAGAAAGAGCTGAGAAGCTTGTGCAAGATATGTATAGTTTGAATAAGTATAGCAAGATTTATTATCAATTATAGACTTTAAACAAAGTCACCAATTATACAAAAGTGTAAATAGGAAGTACACAGCCCTCTGCTTTATTACATTTTCCGCGAGACATAGTGAGGTGGGTTCGATTTTTGTTCCTCGATCTCAATCCAAGACCTCGCTCACCATGCGTGTTAGGGTTTTTTTGTGCTCTTGCCTTGCTTGCGCCTGATGTGAGAAAGAGAGGCTGTGAAAAGTCTACAAGGGCTTTATGCGGAAGATATAACTCAATGTAAAGAGCATGGACGCATAGAATTTTAGTCGTAAGTATCGACGTCTTAGCAGTTTTTCCGTGTGTCTTTTAGGAAAGAGAAACTAACAGGTAACCAGATAATTGTAATCTACTTCAACTTTTCTCAGAACTTGACAATTATATCATAGTACCTCAGCGAGTATTCAATATTTACCCCAGTTTAATATTTATTTGATTCAACTGGCCTTTTCATAGCTTTTTCACAGAAATATATATTTTTAACACACAATTTATTTTCGTCGATTTCTAAATTAACGAATCAAAGTATTAGTTGAATTTTTATCCTGTTAATGGTATTAAAGAAAAATAAATATTGTTTAGGGCACTGGATGCTTCTAATGTCCCGCCAGCAACACCTTTTGTTATAACCGTTAAAACACATTTCGGAAGTAATTGCGATATCAATTATTTAGGTTTTCTCGTATTGGCCCTCGCAAGCCTTGGTTTCCCAAATTACTCTTGGGAGCCGCAGTTCCCGGCTTTGAGATAAACTTAAAACAGAGCTTATGCAAATATAGGAGGCGCAGCGACAACGGACTCCAACAAGCGTAGAACTTCAACAAACTCTTGAAAGGACATTCATCTCAATTGTCTCAGAGAGATTGTGAATAGAATCTGGAATACAATTAAAAACTTTCTTTTCCATTCATTTCAAGTTTATTGCTGAAGAATTGTTATGGATGACGTCTCGTTTTTCAAATATTGGCTGAGATCGGAGTGGAATATTAGCCGATAAACCATGCAGCCTCTATTCCATCCTTTTTGTTTTCTACATATTTTTGAAGCCACGTCAAAAGAAATGCAGTTAAAACGTAAATCTCAAGCGTACATGTCGCGCTCCTTGCAGTGACTCCATACGCTGTCGTTTCTAACAACCGCCGGTTATTGATTTAGTCGAGAACTGCAGATTACAGATTATCTTTTGTCTAGTATTATAGTGCTAACTAGAGAATTACACTTTTTTAAAATCAAATAAAAATACAACGAAATAATCCTCGGAAATCACCAGAAACAAAATTGAGCTAATAAATCTGTACAACGGTCACCTCTAGTGTTTCATTATAAACAAATACGCGTATATCGTTTAAGCTTAACGGGTTGTAGGTAAGGAAATAATTGATTTATAACTACGTCAATTTCTTTCCAAGCTAGGCTAAATGCCATTCTCCGGGATGCTTTCTATCTTCCAAGCGCCCTTCTTCCTTCTTTTAGGTTTTTCTTTTGATTTTTCGTGCTCAGTGCAGGCTTCAGTCTTCTGGAACATTTCAAACTCATATGAGTTCACTGTCCACTCTGCTTCATCAGGGTCAGAGGCGTGCTCGTCCATGGTTCTCTCGACATACGTAGCGTGTCCAGTGGCATCAACTAACATCACTGTGTTGGTTCTGATAAAAAGTAGTCAATAATGAATTGCATTAGATGAAGATATAATCTCACCAGTTATTTCCGTGACCAGTATGGAACTAGAAGCGAGTGTCCTCCCCAGCCTAGCGTGTGACTTTTCGTGGTGCTTAACAATCTTGGTTCAGTTACATGGTACAACTATTCGCTCAAATTAGCTAACAGAGATGGATTGACCGTGAGAGACTAAGAAAGCCATTCAGGAACTTGGCTAGTTATTGCTCATATTAGCTTGGTATTTGAGCGTGTTTGAACACGCCAACCCGAAGATATCCAAGACAGAAGTTTTGTATAATAATAATAATAATAATAATAATAATAATAAAAATAATAATAATAATAATAATAACAATTAATCCTTTATTCACGATAATC